AGGTAAGTCTAGAAACCTAGATATCGTTAGGTGACGACGATCAGTACCGACTCACTCCAACAGTAAATACCTTGCTTATTCAACATTTAACTCTAGAAACGTATGATTTCGTAAAGCTCTGATATTTATAAAGGGAAAATTTTCTGTAAATTAATTACAACCGCGATATCAAGAGAAACTCTAAGATTTACAGGGCAGTGAGTTAACAAAAATTTAATTTAATGTGGAAAACCAGATTGAATAATGTATTAAAAATAGAAAATAATCAAACTCATCATCTCAATTGAAACTGATATAAAACTGTTTATCTTACTGACTTTTTGTGTCAGCTTTGTAGTCAGAAATAGTGAAACATTACAACATTACCAATGGTTGCACAGAACTAGACTTGACAGAAGGCTAAGGTCTGAACTGCATGAAAACCAGGAAAAACAGAAAGAAATTGAAAATTTCGAGCACAAGCCTGTAATAAAGAAACAAGGAAATGTCACTCTTTAACATTAATAAATAAAAGGAAGAGATTGGAATAGGATCAATTATTAATTTTAACGCGAATCCACCTTAACTAGCTGAAGAAAAACCAAATAAAAACAAACACCTAGATAATAGTACAAAAAAACCTCTCAAAGCCTCCAATACAGAAAATTCTTTGCACAAAACATAGTTACAGTAATATTACATCTACAATAATAGTAGCAGCCACAACATAGTAAAAAAAACCTTAACAAAACCTCTCAAAAACTACGAATACATAAAACATTTTACACAGAGCATAGTTACAGTAACATCAGCTAGAGCATACTACAAAAAACACTTATAAAATCCATGAAAACTACGAATACATATAACCTTTTACACAGAGCATAGTTACAGTAATATTGAATCTAATACAGTAATATCAGCCAGAGCATACTACAAAAAACACTTATAAAATCCTTGAAAACTACGAATACATAAAACCTTTTACTCAGAGCATAGTTACGGTAATATTGAATCTAATACAGTAACATCAGCCAGAGCATACTACAAAAAACACTTATAAAATACATGAAAACTACGAATACATAAAACCTTTTACTCAGAGCATAGTTACAGTAATATTGAATCTAATACAGTAATATCAGCCAGAGCATACTACAAAAAACACTTATAAAATCCATGAAACCTACGAATACATAAAACCTTTTACTCAGAGCATAGTTACAGTAATATTGAATCTAATACAGTAACATCAGCCAGAGCATACTACAAAAACACTTATAAAATCCATGAAAACTTCGAATACATAAAACCTTTTACTCAGAGCATAGTTACAGTCATTTTAAACTTAATACAAAGCTTGGCTAGTAGAACCCTTTCTATACTCCACCAATGTCACAATAAATAAAATTGCTTACTTAAAATATAGGGAACTTATGACAGTATGAAAATCATTAAGCCCATGTCACAATAAATAAAATTGCTTAGTTGAAATACAATGAACTTATGACAGTATGAAAATCATTAAGCCCAAAATACAAAGCTAAAATCATACGTAATAAACCGAATACAACTTTATTCTCCAAATAACATAAAGTATTTCAGTTTTATATATGATGTAAGTACTTATTTAAATTGTGTGCCCAAATTCAAAACACCAATAAGCGGTTTCTAGCGACGTAGGTCCGCGGACATACCACTGTGCCACTGGGGGCTATATATACTACAAGTGCCTAGTAAAACCCATAACAAAGTCATTTTGATGCAGCTCAAAAATAAAACTAGTTGTGCAAAATAATATACAAATAAATATATATTACAACTAGTTTATAAAAATGACATAATAAACATAGCTTACATATATCAAAAATACTTTCATACTAAAATACATGACGATGTGATAAAACCCACTGATGTAAGGTATTATAAATAGAAATACAAACAGCAAAACCTTCACTGTAAATATCAGTCAACATAATATTAAACAACAGATGGAACATAATCACTATAATAAAATAATATTGTCATGAGAAACATATTAATGTATAAGATATGTGCAAATCGGGAAAAATCACTATATCATAATGGTCATATATTAAATATCAACACACATACCGAAACGAAAATAAATATTAGTGACTTAACACGATTGAAATTGGTTATGAAACGTGAAAATTATATACTGTTTCGTTTGTTGTAGAGAAAAACTTCGCAATGGCTATATACACTCAGCCTACCGCTTGGAATCGAGCCCAGAATGTTATAGTTCAAAAACTTAGTGGTGATTTGCCGGAGATTATAAAAAAAAAGTTAAATGACTAAAAAACTACTAGTAATATTATGTTACCTTAAAGGAACTAAGTTTACTGAAAATATGATTCAAAACAGACCATTGTCAGTGAGTCACTAAACAATGCAAGTATGTAGCTCATCTCTGTCTCTCACATCACTTGTAGAGGAATTAATGAAGGCAGACTGGTATCATGTGTGTCTGTCAGCATTCTGTTTGTGAAATTAATGAAGGCGGATTGGTATCACGTGTGTCTGTCAGCTTCCTCTTTGTGGAATTAATGAAGGCGGACTGGTATCATTATGTGTCTGTTAACATTCTGTTTGTGAAATTAATGAAGGCGGACTGGTATCACGTGTGTCTGTCAGCTTTTGATACCAGTCCGCCTTCATTAATTTCACAAAGAGTTATGTGTCTGTTAGCATTCTGTTTGTGGAATTAATGAAGGCGGACTGGTATCATTATGTGTCTATTAGCATTCTGTTTGTGGAATTAATGAAGGCGGACTGGTATCATGTGTGTCTCTCAACATTCTGTTTGTGGAATTAATGAAGGCGGACTGGTATCATTATGTGTCTGTTAGCATTCTGTTTGTGTAATTAATGAAGGCGGACTGGTATCACGTGTATCTGCCAGCTTTCACTTTGTGAAACTATTGAAGATGCTTGGTATCACGTATGTCTGTCAGCTTTCTGTTTGTGGAATTAATAAATATGGTTTGGTTTCACGTGTGTCTGTCAGCATTCTGTTTGTGGAATTAATGAAGGCTGGCTGGTATCACGTGCGTCTATCAGCTTTCTGTTTGTGGAATTAATGAAGGCGGATTGGTATCACGTGTGTCTGTCAGCTTTCTGTTTGTGGAACTAATGAAGGTGGACTGGTATCATGTGCGTTTGTCAGCTTTCTGGTTGTGGAACTAATGAAGGTGGACTGGTATCATGTGTGTCTATCAGCTTTCTGTTTGTGGAATTAATGAAGGTGGACTGGTATCATGTGCGTTTGTCAGCTTTCTGTTTGTGGAATTAATGAAGGTGGACTGGTATCATTGTGCGTTTGTCAGCTTTCTGGTTGTGGAACTAATGAAGGTGGACTGGTATCACATGTATCTGTCAGCTTTCTGTTTGTGAAATTAATGAAGATGGTCTGGAATCGCTTGTATATCTCAGTCCTTTGCGTGTTTTCGTTATGATAGTGCTGTGGATTTCGGAGCTGAGGAGCCTGGTTGGAATCCTTGTGATACCATAAAATATTCCCTGAACTATAAAATGCAAGAGCATTACAAGGGTGACAATGAATCGTTTAGCGTGGATAGTTGGTTGTATGGTACTATTGACCGGCTGCCTACCCTCTGTTCAGTAGTTAACAATTATGACCGGCGGCAGCTAGTCTTAATAGGTTTTTCCATATATATACTAAATAGAAATTCCGGGCCCTTTGCCAGCTGAAGTAGTGAAGATGTCATGATATCATGTTTGCCTCTCAGCTCTGTCGTAGTAGATGTAGTGAGTATTGGAGCTAAGAGATGGGTTTTATGGATTCTTTCGCTTAGAAATAAGTGGTCACTGCTTGTCTTAAAAGTCAATGGTCAGTTTCAAGAAAGCATCTTAGGAAAGAGATCGTTCCTAAGACATAACCTATTTCTAAGAGGAGTTAACGCTAGCTTTCGAATCTGACGAACCTTCTTAACTTCTTTCCTTAACTTTACGATAGGTAAGTAGGTGTTTCAGGATAGAACCGAACATGGCCTTCGCCAAATATACACATAATGATTATTTTTTTATCTTAACATAAGGTGCACTAATATTATAAAATTGTCTTTAATTAAAATATTTTTGTAAATGAAAGGAGAAAAATAAGCCAAAAAAGTGACCGTTGCTAGACAACATTGAAAAATGTCGGTGCTTGGAAAAACTATTATATCATTTATAGTGTTTTTGATTTTGGTTTTTCTTCATTAATAGAGAAAACAATTAATGAATATTAATCAAACGTTAGATTATTTTGTACATTTAACATAACCATTCGATTTGAAATATTTCATCTTGCTATTTCCAAGCATTTTTATCCATGTTACCACCCTGACAAATTACTTAAGTATGGTATAGAGCCAGGAATTGTGTCGTTTAATATTATAAGTACTATGTAATATGACAGTTATTAAAATACAGAATATGTTTTAACTTTTATCTTCCACTTCGTTCAAATACTGCCTGTGTAACAACTATTATATACTGTCTTCCTCTATCCGACACAAGATCATGTTTGCGGCTACGCCTTTCCATCCCAAATCGTAAAGTGTCCAAATTCGTTTAGAATGACATCGCTTTGCACTTGTACAAAGTGTACTAAAATAAGTGCAAAAAGAATAAAATAATATATTTTATACCTTGTAAGAGACATCTCTCTCTAAACTTTCCTCGTTTCTGAAATTTTAGTTTCAGTCTCAGTAGTTTGATAACGGAACCAGCAATATAGCTATTAGGGTGACGTAGGAGATATATAATTACAGACTGGGGCAAGACATTCATTCCCATGTCAGAAGGATAGAGTTCGTGGATCAGCTAAAAATATAAAGCACCTTACTGTGAAGTATCAGAAGGACAAACAAAATCCCAGGTTTGATAACGGAGACTTTTTACACATATACTATCATATCACTGATATAATAGTACTTCTAGTAAATTTCTGCTAGCTAAGTGAAGTATCAGGTCAGTGTCTCAACCAGATGAACAGTATCAGATAGGTGTCATAACCAGAGAAACAGTATCAGGTAGGTGTCTTTACCAGAGAAACAGTATCAGGTAGATGTCTTAACTAGACAAACAGTATCAGGTCGGTGTCTCAACCAAATAAACAGTATCAGATAGGTGTCATAACCAGAGAAACAGTATCAGGTAGGTGTCTTAACCAGAGAAACAGTATCAGGTAGATGTCTTAACTAGACAAACAGTATCAGGTAGGTGCCATAATCAGAGAAACAGTATCAGGTAGATGTCTTAACTAGACAAACAGTATCAGGTAGGTGTCTCAACCAAATAAACAGTATCAGATAGGTGTCATAACCAGAGAAACAGTATCAGGTCCGTGTCTCAACCAAATAAACAGTATCAGGTCGGTGTCTTAACAAGAAGAACAGTATCACATCAGTGCCTGATATAGAGAATCAGTATGAGATGGGTGTCTTAACCAGATAAACAGTATCCAGTTTTATCCCATTAATCCTTATCATCCTTGACCCACTTTTCAAAGTGAAAGACGTTTATTTTTGGTTTATTCTTTATATCCTCCAAAGTAAATCGATAATGAATAATAACCCAAAGGTTTAGTAGGTTCAGTTCTAGGATTTTCTCAGGAAACTGCTGCCCAATTCTAATATTGGTCAACGACAAAGTTCAGAATTTCAGCATAGTCTTTAGTCAATCCATAGGTTAACTCTTCCAACCATCTAGTACGTACCTGATATAATACTTCCACTAACCATGCATTTATCAGATAACATGTTCGCTATTAACACAGTCCTTAGTCAATCCATAGGTTAACTCTTCCAACCACATAGTACAGGCCTGATATAATACTTCCACTACCGTGCATTTATTGGATAACGCGTTCGCTATTAACACAGTCCTTAGTCAATTCATAAGTTAACTCTTCCAACCATCTAGTACATACCTGATATAATACTTCCACTAACCGTGTATTTATCAAATAACGTGTTCGCTATTAGCATAGTCCTTAGTCAATCCATAAGTTAACTCTTCCAACCATCTAATACAGACCTGACATAATACTTCTACTAACCGTGCATTTATTGGATAATATGTTCGCTATTAACACAGTCTTTAGTCAATCCATAGGTTAACTCTTCCAACCATCTAGTACATACCTGATATAATACTTCCACTAACCGTGCATTTATTGGTTAACGTGTTCGCTATTAACATACTTTTAACTTAAAACGTCAAATTCAGTAAGATTAAACATTGGATGATAAGCTTACAAAATAGTTATTACAGGTTGCTTAGAAAAGGATAGTGCAGAAAATTGGATAATATGTTCACTAATAACATGTTGGATAACATTTTCACTATTAATATATTTCAAGGTTCGAAAAGAAACATTTCTACTTTCCTACTACATGGCTATACAAAAGTTTGTAATAAACATTTTAATAGGAAGTTTACAATTAAATTAATCTAAAGGACAGCTAAACAGGAAAGTAAATTCGAAGATTCATGGTTCGCGACCGCAAAATGGTGCTTCATACTACATAATGCCATTAGTGCATTATAAGAGTGATAGTCAAGTCCTACTATTAGATATGGGAAATTAGCCCAAGGGTTGTCAGTGGATGTATAACTTGCCTTTTTTTTCTAGAAATCAGCTCAAAATTAGGGTTTTTTTAAGCTGAAACACCCACTGTGAAGAAGCCTTGTGCAAAACTCTTAAACTAAACATTTTGTAAATATATATATATATATAATTTGTATACAGATAAAGCCCACACCACTATAAATCTTGTTTAGGCAAATTATCTTACACCATTTAAAATTTACTCCCTGTTTATAAATAAATTCTTTTTACCCAAACTATAAATAATGAAGGACTTCGAAAATTATACTTTCTGAAACAATATACTTAGACTTATAAGCGTATATTGTATCTTACAGTCACTGTATGTTAAGATATCACAAACAAACTGAAACATAAAACTCGTGTTAACAATTGGCTTGTTTTGTTTCAGATGTTCAGTAAAGAAATATAGTAATTATCTGCAGTGAAATATAGTGTCAACAACCAGACGTTTTGGCCATAGTTACTTTATAGTGTCAACAACCATAACATTTACATAATACACCTCAAAAACAACAAAAACTCTCTCATGGTGTATAAACATGCTATCTTGTAACTATCCTAACACAAATGTTCTTTTTTAGGAGGTTAAAAAGAACCTTCATCAATGTTAAGGTAAAATGAAGAAATTATATGTATATATATATATATATACAACACAAAATATCTTGAAATGATAATCGTGTCAGATTAGCATAAAGCCATGTTTACACATCCTCTCAATACGATTCTTGTAGGTACTTTAAAGTATGTTCCATCAAGTGAGTCCACAAAAGTCAGTATGAGATTAACACTAAGGTGATATTTGGCTGATGTTCGTAAATCCTAGGCACATACTTTCAAGAAGGATATAAAAACACGTTAGAGATTAACACTAACCCATTTTTAGCAGGTGGATTAATGAATTTTGTGGTTAAGCCAAAGTACTTATCACCTAGTAACACGATAAGAGTCAGCATGGAGTTAGATTAACGCTATTCCCTTCTTTAGTAAGTGGATTAATGACTGATGTATTTAGGACAAAGTACATATCATCTAATAACATGATAAGGGTCAGCATGGAATCAGATTAACACTAATCCCTCGTATAGTAAGTGGATTAATGACTGTTGTATTTTAAACAAAGCACATATCCAGTAGTGACGCGATAATTGTCAGCCTGGAGTCAGATTAACGCTAATAACTTATATAGTGAGTGGATTAATGACTGTTATAGTACATACGAGCCTTTACTAGTTAACTTTCCATAATTGTTCGAATTTGGACTGTGACTGTTTTTGGACTTAGTTAGGTCCTAGTAAAATTGTTCAATAATAGTAATATAATTTCTATTGTAACTAAACACATATGGTTAGCATAACTACATAGGTGTATTTACGTCTAGCTCAAGATAAAACATAAATATGTTCACTCTACATAACACTGGTTCGTATACGTTTCACTAAGTCAAATATAAGATATTAGATTCGGATAAGTAGATCGCTAGACATGTTGTAACTTCTATCCTAAGTGAAGGACACATTTGCATTTAAATTATTCGAAGATAAATATCTCTTCCTATGAAGCTGTTTCGACTGAAGTCTTGCTTTTAAATAATAGAAACATAAGGTGTGATATTTAAATATTTCAAGCGTCAGATGCTGAGAGAAAAGTAGTTTTTCTTTACTTAAAGCTAAACTATAGTTACTACTTGAGAAAGCTTATTCGATACTTCTGGTTAGATAGGTACAAAATCACTTTAATATACTGAACAAGGACATTCACTTTAATGTAAGATATAATTATTAACTCTGGAGAAGTAAATCTCGATCAGATTCTACTTAAAAGGAATTTAAACCTTTTGGCTGTAGCTAAGTAATTATTCGCCTTCAGAAATGATTAACATCCTGTAGTTTCCATCAATAAAACGTACGTCTTATCTCTAACCATAAATAAACTATCGAAAGTTTAAACTGGTAGGTCCGAACTGTTTCAACCTCTATGATGTTTAGTCAACTTCACTTACATCGAACGGGTGATTATTCAGTGCCTATACTAGAAACGTTAACATATATTATACACATAATGTGTATATTTATAATTGTTCATGTAATAGATACACAGTATTTCATTAAAAACATATAAAAAATTCTTAATAGACTTATTATATTTTATTATATTAAATAATATAGCAAGGTTCTCATTTCTAGTACCACCCAAAATTGATGATAACACCACCAGCTCCGACAGAGAAGTTAAAGAGGGGAGTCACGTGACCCTACAGTGTCGTGCTTCAGGGATTCCAACTCCTAATATAACATGGCGACGAGAAGATAACCAACAGATAATGCTGGGAGAGAAGAAAGGTGCGTCTGACTGAGATCATGGTTTTAAAATGTATTGGTTTAGTGTTGAGAAAAAAACAAGAAAATTTAATATTTCATAAGTAGGTTGTGTATTGAGTAAATGGGTTTGGTACTGAACGAAATTGAATAAATTTCACTCTTGTTTAAAACTGGTTTGATACAGGATAAACGAGTTTGGTATTAAATAAAAGGAATGGTAACTAAAGAAAATGGTTTGATTTTGAGTAAACTAATTGTTCAGATTGTAGGGATTAAATATTGCATGGTTGGTACTTAGTAAGTACTAGTACAATATGTAGCACTGAGTAAAGAATCATATACTTAGCAGATGTTTGACACCAACTAAAAACTTTAGTATTTTGTATAAGAGTTTGATACTGAGTAGACATGTTTGTATTAAATATTTCATTTTTATTGTTGGATAGACGAATTTCGTTCTGAATAAAAGTGGTGGAACAAAGTAAACGGGTTTGATACTGAATAATTGGGATTGGCAGTAACTAAAAAAGTTTAATACTTTGGCAGAAACAGATAGTAATGAACAAAAGGTCTGATATTGAGAAAGTGATCTGATAATGAGTTTAGGGATTTAGTATTCAATATACTAAGTAAATTACGATAGTATTAAGTAGAGGGTTTGGTACCTAGTACTTCTAAGCCTGGTACTGAATAAACTGGGTAAACACGTTTGGCACTTAGTAACTAAGCCTTCTATTAAGTAGAGGGTTTGGTACCTAGTAATTAAGCTTGATACTAAATAAATGGTTTGGTATCTAGTATCTGAGCTTGATTCTAAGTATAGAGTTTGGCACCTGTAACAGGACTTGTTACTAAGTAAAGAGGTTGACGCCGAGTAACAGAACTTGTTTCTAAAAAAAAAACAGTTTGGGACCTGTAACTGAGGTTGGTACTAAGTAAATAGTTTGGGACCTTTAACTGAGCTTCGTTCTAAGTAAAAGTTTTAGCATTTAGTAACTGAACCTGGAAATAAGTAATGAGTTTGGCACCGAGTATTTAAGAGCTTGGTATTGATTGAGTAAGTTGGTTTGTTACTCAGCAAAGAGTATGTCACTTAGTAACTAAGCTTTGTACTAAGTAAAGGATTTAGCACCTAGTAACTAAGCTTGCCTCTAAATAAGTTTTGTACTAACTAAAGGTTTTGACACTTTGTGACTGAGCTTCGTACTAAATAAAGAATTTAGCACCTACTACTTCAGAGCTTTGTACTGAGTAAGTTAGTTTGTTACCAAGCAAAGTGCTTGGAACTTAGCAACTAAGCATTACATTAAAGGGTTTCGTACCTAGTAACTAATTTTGCTACCAACTGAAAGGTTTGGCACCTAGTAACTAAGCTTGCTACCAACTGAAGAGTTTGACACTTTGTAACTGATCTTGGTACTAAAAAAAGGATTTGGCACCTACTACTTCAGAGCTTTGTACTGAGTAAGTTAGTTTGTTGCTAAGCAAAGTGCTTGTCTTTTAGTAACTATGCTTGTTACTAAGTAAAGGGTTTGGCACCTATTATCTGAGCTTGGTTCTAAATAACGGACCTGGCACCTAGAATCTGAGCCTGCTACTAAATAAATGGTTTGGCACCTAGTAGTTACTGAGTAAGTTGAGTTGTTAGTAAGCAAAGAGTTTGGTACTATTAACTAAGCTTTTTATCAAGTAAAGGGTTTGGCAGCTACTAACTAAGCTTGCTATTAAATAAATGGTTTGGCATCTAGTAACTGAACTTAGTTACGAATAAAGGGTTTGGCACCTAGTAACTAAACTTGGTATCAACTAAAGAGTGTGACAATTTGTAACTGAGCTTGGTAGTAAATAAATAGTTTGATCATTAGTAACTGACCTTGTTTCTAAGTTAAGGATTTTGGGGCACCGTGTAATTGAGCTTAGTTCTAGTGACTGAGTGGGTTGATAGTGAAATATGTATTTTTTATTATAAAGGAAGAAATGAGTTTAATTTTGAGAATATTATTTATTCCGAATGTAGAAATTTAGTATTGCACTTTGAATGTTGGTATTTGATCGCCTAGTTCTATTATAAACTATGAATTATGAAGAGTGAGCGTACACATTTGAGACTAAGTGTATCACGTTGAAAATTATGTTTGAGTTTATATCGATAATATTGGTTTCCTGATGACTGCGTTAGTTTCAAAGTATGATAACGTATTTGGAAGTTGATATAGGTGCACAGTAATGAGATTACACGTTTTGAAGTAAGTGTTTGGACATAAAATTAGATACACGGATTCGATAGTTTATAGGAGCATTCTGGAAATTCGCTATAAATATTTTGGCCTGTGTATAAAAGTGTTGAGTGAAGTATAGTGTAGTGAAGCAATATTAGGTATACGAGTTTTTAGTATAAGGGATTTTTAAGTATTGAAGAAAAACACAAGCAGAATAAGACACAGTGAAAAACTTCCTTATACCAAATGTTAACAATTTGATAATAGTTTGGTGAGTCTAACTTTAGTTAGTATGAAAAGCCACTTGGAACAGATTAAAATACTTGTAGATCTAGGACAAAATTAAAAACAGACAAAATGGTTTGAATTTCGCTCAAAGCTACACGAGGGCTATCTGCGCTAGCCGTCCCTAATTTAACAGTGTAAGACTAGAGGGAAGGCAGCTAGTCATCACCACCCACAGCCAACTCTTGGGCTACTCTTTTACCAACGAATAGTGTGATTGACCGTCACATTATAACGCCCTCACGGCTGAATGGTGTGACAGGGATTCGAACTCGCGACTCGCAAATTGCGAGTTGAGCGCCCTAACCACCTGGCCATGCCGGGCCAACAAACAAATAATATTATGTTTATATTCAATTCCAAATGAAAGTATATTTATATTTGTAATACAATAACTTGGTGTTAGGAGGGATCGAAAATATTACGCAAAGAAGTAGAATAATTAAAGCAATGAGCTAAACCTGCATTTTTTTTTTTTTGTCTAACTTGTTTCCGGACAGACATTTAAAATACTGTGGACTTGCACGTGTGTGGGAGTATTTATAAAAATTTAGGCTATTAACATATATCAACCTATTTTGCTAGCATTACATTCAGTAATTATCTTTGTTTAGCTTAAGTAACTTGGCTAAATAGCGTGATATTGTAAGTGTCTTCTCCATGTGAACAACACAGGCACGATAAAATTAGTGACGGGATTGTTCTTTACAGGCACTCTAGACAGACATTTAATTATCAGTAATTACTATCTTCGCGCCGAAGCTACTTAACTATAATAAACCCAACCGGTGAAAATGTAACTATTCGAAGCCTTAAAAAAAGGAAAGAAAAGAAAAGAAGGGGCGAGAGTAATAGTGACGGTGTTGAAATTAAAAGATCATATTATTAACGATCATCTATCTATTTAGCTCCAAGTGGTAACACGAGCTGTCCTGACGTTCCATTAAAAATATCAATTTAGAAAATTGCTGGTTGCCATATTAAATTCTCATGCTGACCACTAAATCTTTGTAATTAAGACTTGCTTAGAACATGCTGACCACTAAATATTTTGTAATTAAAACTTGCTTAGAACATGTTGACCACTAAATATTTTGTAATTAAAACTTGCTTAGAGTATGCTGACCACTAAATCCTTTCTAATTAAAACTTGCTTAGAACATGCTGACCACTAAATCTTTTCTAATTAAAACTTGCTTAGAACATATTGACCATTAAATCTTTTCTAATTAAAACTTTCTTAGAACATGTTGACCACTAAATCTTTTGTAATTAAAAATTGCTTAGAACATGCTGAACTCTAAATATTTTGTAATAAAAAACTGGCTTAGAACATACTAAAATCTAAACTCTTGTAATTAAAACTTGCTTGGAACGTTGACCACTAAATCTTTTGTAATTAAGACTTTCTTAGAACATTTCTTGCAGTTATGTTCACACTTTGGTTTCTGTAGATCTAACGATTTGAGTACTAATCTAATGGAAGTAGACATCTCTACATAGTTGTTGTTTGTAGTTAAGCATAAAGCTACACAATGGGCTATCTGTACTCTGCCCACCACAGGTATCGAAACCCAGATTCTAGCGTTGTAAGTCCGCAGACATTCCGCTGTGCCACTGGGGGGCATTTCTACATCTCTTCCTTTGATGATGAAAAATGCATTTTCGAGCTATCAACACATATTAAACACATTAAGCTTATTTCACCATATTTTTAAGTGTTGACCTTACTTTAATTAATACTTGGTATTAAACATACTATGTATAATTCATAATATTCTAATTAACACCATATGGTCGAATTATTAGAGCTAATTTAACATTTAATGGTTAGCACGTTAAACTGTTCTTAAAGTTTAATGGTTAATATATTATACTAAACTCGGTGTTTTATGGTTAACACTTTATTATCAACTTATGTTTCGTGCCACGCAGTTGATAAAATTGGAGGCATTGTACTCCGTGAGTAACGCGTTAAACATTGGTAGTTAAAATGTTATACGGTAGTTAACGTTACGTGGTTACTTTATACGCACTTATTTTGGTTGGGATAACACATCATAAGCTTTTTAATATACCATTTAACGGTTGAGTGATCATATATATTATAAATTGATTAGCATTAAGTTTTTGTTTGTTTGTTATTAAGCACATGGTTACACAATGCCCACCGCCAGTATCTAAACCCGACTTTTATCGTTAAAAGTCCTCAGGCTTATCATGAACCACAAATGAGCAACTTTAACTAATGAGTTTGTTAGATACACATATAATTTAGTTAAACTTAGGTATTTAAGGTGTTATACACTAATTAATGGTTGCAATTAATATATTATTTTGTACATAACGTTAAAGGAATTAAACATGACATTCAAACTAACGTTTGGTGGTTAACACAAGGCAATCTAGTTAAAATTAGTGATTGACATATATATACATATAATCAACAGATGATCAGAATGTTAAGAGTAAAATATCATTTTAGTTTATAATAGTTTATAAATATCATAGTGTTTA